GGGGGGGGGGGGGCAATATAGTGATTTTTGTAAACCACTTAGAGAGGGCTGTAAAGCAGTATATAAGTCAAAGTGCTATTGTTATTAAGGGACTGTAGTGAAATGCTGAAGACTTAAAAGGCTGAATGCAGGAAAGGTACAGTAGTGCTCACAAGCCTTCCTCATCTAGGGTTCCCCAGATAGGGACCGCAACCCCCATCATGCAATGCCTGTTGGCTGTATTCTCTTAGGTTGGTGATGGTGCAGATGCCCAATGGGTGTTGTGGCCTGTTGGCCGCCGGCCCCTTCAGCAGCCAAATCAGAGGAGGAGGTGGTGTGGGAGTCAAAGTCAGCATCAAGGCAACCTGAGAACTCCAGGGGGGAGGAAGGAATGGAGCTGGCAGAGATAGAGACAAAGGCGGAGCCTGGGCCACCCATCAGCCCTCAGATGGAGGTAGCTGATGAAGAAGAGGAGGAGCAGCTGGGTCTAGTGCCTGATGTGCGGATGCACAGAAGGCAGAGGAGAGGAGAGCAGTGGAAATCTATGGGCCGGTCCTTGGGACGGAAGAGCCACCACTGCTAGCAAAGCCCCACCCTAGCTTTGGGGATAAAAGGCAGTGGGGCGGAGATGAATAAATGTGGCAGACAACTGTTCATCTCCCTGCTGGACAGACTTGTTAGCCTGTGGTGAGAGAGAATTTTTTCCCCGGGACTGCTGACACTCCTAATAAAGGAATCATTGATTTAACTTAAGAGGATTTGTCGTGTTTGGGAGCCAGGTCAGAACAATGGGAAGTTGCTCCTCTAAGAGCATTAGAAGTTGCTCTCTAGCCCCATTCTGTGCAGGTTGGTGCAAAATTGGGATAGAAAGCTTGTTTATTTTTTTTCCCCATCTCTCAATGGTGCAAAGAGTTGAACTCGGCAGCCTTGCTTGGATATCATTTGCTTTTCTGGTGATGGTGGTGGTTTATCACATGCCAGACATGTAATGGTTCTATTTATCTCTCCTTGGAATGACTGGTTAGTTACTTAGGATTATGTGCCATGCTTAGTTAAACTTCCCTAGCCACGTGTGAATTGGGTTGGGATTTTCCAAGTCCACCAAACAACCAGGAGGTTTTCATGCTGCGCAACTGGCTTCACTTGCTCATACAGGCAGGCCTCGACTTACGACCACAATTTCTGTGGCTAAGCGAAACATTTGTCAGGTGAATTCTGCTCCATTTTTACCACCCCTCTTGCCACCGTTGTGAAGTGGATCACTGCCATTGTTAAGTTAGCATCATGGTTGTTAAGTGAGCCTGGCTTCCCCATTGACTTGGCTCTTCTAGCGGTCGTAAAAAGGGGATCCCATGCACTTGGGACTCTGCAACGGTCATAAATATGAATCAGTTGCCCAGTGTCCGAATTTTAATCGCATGAGCCTGGGGATGCCGCAATGGTTGTAAGTGTGAAAAATGGTCATAAGTCACTTCTTTCAGTGCCGTTGTAACTTTGAACGGTCGCTAAATGAGCTGTTGTAAGTCGGGGACTACCTGTACAGTTTACAAATGCTTAATATGATTCAAAGGGAGAGATGAACTGAGAATGGGCACCTCTGAATTTAGTTAAGTTGGTGTTTCCCCATCTTGGCAATTGTAGGATGTCTGGACTCCAACTCCCAGAATTCCCTAGCCAGCCCGGCCCAAGATGTCACCTCAGCAGAGAAATCTATAGGGATGGGGGAATTCTGGGAGTTGAAGTCCACAAATCTTAAAGCTGCTACGTTTAGAGATTCTTCCTCATTACCAAAGCAACGAGAAGAAAATGTATCTTACATCCAAGACAAGTAGAAAGCACGTGTTGTGAGCAACTCAGACAGATAATTTGTGCAAGTGTAAGAAGTGTAAGAAGAATGTGTAGCACAGTCAAATTTGCAAGCTTCTGTTATTACAAGTTACTCTCGATAAAAATAGTTTTAGTCCATCTGTGGAGTTAAATCCTGTCTGATCTACTACTAACAACTTTGCTTTGACTACTGAACCTATGGACTTAAATAGAGGGAGTCAAGCTATTTTCCAAAGCACCTGAGGGCAGACAAGAAGCAATGGGTGGAAACTCCTCAAGGAAAGAAGCAACTTAGAACTAAGGAGAAATTCACTGACAGTTAGAACAATTAATCAGTGGAACTACTTGCCTCCAGAAGTTGTGAATGCCCCAACACTGGAAGTTTTTAAGAAGAGATTGGATAACCGTTTGTCTGAAGTGGTGTAGGGTTTCCTGCCTAGGCAGTGGGTTGGACTAGAAGACCTCCAAGGTCCCTTCCAACTCTATTAATCTATTCTATTCTAAATGTTCAACCTCCTCGCTGGAGAAAATAATGTGTATGTATGTATGTTTATGTATGTATGTATGTATGTATATGTATACATATATACACACAGAGATATACACATACATACAGTACAATATTGCATGGAATTCCATCAAACATTATAAATCTAGAACTACTGAAAGAAAATACATTTCTCTTTGTATAGAGTAGTGGCAGTTATTGTTGGAATGTACATTATTCCACCCCTGTCTGCTTTTAATACGTGCTCCTATCCTGTTGGACAGGTTTATCCTTGCTTATACTTGTTCGGTATTCCTCTATGTTCTTATTGAGTCTTTCTGCCTTTTTGGATTAATTGTGTTCTCCTTCATCCTTCTTATGTGTTTAGCTGTTTTGAAAGCTAATAATAAGACCTCATAGCTTCCTTGTATCAGTTAAGGGAAATTTTATACTTGGGAGGCGAAAGTCCTACAAATCTTGTATATCCAAAATTGGAAAGGGCCGAGAAAAAAATGCAATGTTTTTATGCCATGGTATTGTTCAGTTATTCTTTACATGCAAAATTTGGTTCCAGGTGCAAAACAGCAGGTCCACTTGTGAAGTCCAGTTAAACTGATATATATTAATAAAAGCCTTTGCAGAAGACTCTTGTCATCTACTAGAGTAGAGTAGAGTAGAGTAGAGTAGAAAATGGAATGGAATAGAATAGAATGTAGAAATAGAAATAGAAATAGAAGTAGAAGTAGGAATAGGAATAGGAATAGGAATAGGAATAGAAATAGAAATAGAAATAGAATAGAATTTTGTATTGGCCAAGTGTGATTGGACACACAAGGAATTTGTCTCTGGTGCATAAGTTCTCAGTGTACATATTAGAGTTAGATAAGGTTGAATGGAATTCCAGTGGATGTAGACAGCTTGTGGTACTTAAGGATTCTAGACTGATCCCTCTTTAAGGGGTCTTTGGGGCTGTCTGAGCTTGGTTGTTTCCTTGCAGGCATTTCATTATCCAAACTAGATAACATCATCAATGCTCATCTGATGCACTGATGATGTTACCCAGTTTGGGTAATGAAATATCTGCAAGAAAACAACCAAGCTCAGAGAACGTGAAGAGCCCCTCATTTCAACCCTGAGCTACACGTATTCCCTTTTATTGATCCTCTGTTTAAACTCCACCCCAGGTCCTGTCATTCCTTCCCATACACTTGGGATCTTTTCCCCGGTCAACTAACCCAAGATGAATAGAGTAACTCAAAAAAAACCAACTGACCATTCATAGAAAAAACCTTCAAATGTCCATTTTATCCCACGTCTTGATTTTACACAATATTCGTGGGATGTTTTTAGGATGACTTAGAAAGGAAGGGAGTAGTCCTCCTGCAACTTTTATAGCCATCATACTATAAAGGAGTGATGTTGATGCATGTCTGTTTACTTGGCAGTGACTCTAGTTACAACAAAAGGGAGACTTTTAAAGCAAAAGCAGGAGAATAGGGGCATCTTAAATGATAAATGACGAAGTTTCAATGTGTCCCAAGAATCTTTATTGCTTTTGCACAATTTTAGTGACTGCTGTATGAGATTTGTATCCTCTTCCATTTGATATCAAACAGAAGAGGATACCTATCGCATACAGCAGTTACTAAAATTGTGCACTTGCTAACAAGTTAATGTAAGACAGTTACATCTATATAGCTTTAACCTTGTTAGCAAGTGCCAATACTTGGCCCAACTTGTCTGGACTAACTAGGCTTAGTTAGTCTTTTGCTGGAAGATCACATGCAAATTCCAGAGCTGGGAAATTTAAAAAAAAAAGTCCTGGAATCTGGAGAAAAATCATGCTCATTTCCTTATAGTCACCAAGAGTCAAGCTTGACCCAAGTTCTAGCTTTCCAAACTAGGTTTGTGTAATTATCAGGTTACCTTAATCAGGCATTGTTATAGCCTTGAGTCTCTTTGTCTTAAACATATTACAAAGCGTTTGTTAATTGATTTGGAACTTGTACTTTCAGGTAGTCCAGCCTTGACACACAGAAACATGACATCCTCTAGTTTGAACGACATCTCTGACAAACCTGACAAGGAGCAGGTAAGTTTCAATTTTCTGGCCATCGGTGTCCTCTTCTAAAGGGAGTACCAAGAGTGTCTATGATGCAGAAGAATGAGAATGTGAGGACAAGAATGGAAAGAGATTTGAACTGTCACTTATTGTTATCTATAGAAGCCATTACAGTACTTGATTTGTTTGGTTTTGGCTTAAGATGATGTGATATAGCTAATTTATAAAGCTGTGGTGGCGCAGTGGTTAGAATGCAGTATTGCAGAGTAATTCTGCTGACCGCGAACAGTTCGATCCTGACCCTCTCGCTCCTGAGTCACGGTGACTCAGCCTTCCATCCTTCTGAGATCAGTAAAATGATTGTTGGGGGCTATATGCTGATTTTGTAAAATGCTTAGAGAAGGCTGTTAAGCACTGTGAAGCGGTATATAAGTGCTATTTCTTTTGATATTATTTGTAGAGATACTTTTCAGTTATGAATTTTTCTTGGCTTGGGGGTTGAATGTTCTGAAATTCCCATCCTTTCATTGGATGGACAAGTCACCTCCTTTTCCTGTTAATTCTTGCTCTGACTTCTTTTACGTCCAACTGGTACTGTCAGATTGATCCGACTCTCTTTCTCTGAATGTCACTCAGTTCTCAGTTCCATTGCTTTAAGTAGCTTTGTAGCAATGAAAAAAGTGACTTATGACCATGTGACCAGAATTCAGACGCTTGGCAACTGACTCATATTTATGACAGCTGGAGTGTCCTGGTGTCATGTGATCACCTTTTGTGACCATCTTATGAGCAAGCCAGATTCATTTAACAACCATGTTACTAACTTAACAACTGCAGTGATTCACTTAACAGCTGTGTCCAAAAGGGTCATAAAATGGGGCAAAATTTGGTTCACTGTCTCGCTTAGCGACAGAAATGTCAGGCTCAGTTATGGTCATAAGTCAAGGAACTACCTGTACCCTGTCAAATATTCTTGCACAAGTTCAGCGCTCGTAATGGCGTATCTCAGCTTCAACTCCCATAACCCACAGCCATCCTGCTGATGTGGAGAACCAAGTGGCGGGAAAACTGAATTCACTAATATTTTTCATCACTCTGTGGATTAAATTACTGGTTTTAATCATCTGTCAGTTCTCCAGTTAAGAGTTGAGATACCCTGTCCATGTTCGATAAAGAAACAGAGTTTTCTGCTCTTTTTAATGACTGTGTGACTCTAATGGGAATTGTCTTCATGTACTGTACTGGATTGAGAACTAAAAGAATCTTCGGCATAGTAAGATAGTAACTAGGATCTGAGTTAATATATATTCTAGCAAGGTCTTATTAAGCAAAAAATAACACTCGTCATCTAAACTTAAATTGCTGGAGAGGCAGTTTTTTTCCTTCTTGTTTTTTGTGTGTGTGATTTTATGTTCCTTCAATAATTTTCCTTCTTCCATTCCTAAACTGCATGAAGGTTAAGCAGTTTATTGATTATGTTTATATTTTAAACATGGCAATATTACATCTGTCAAACGCCAGGGAAATCAGGGCGTCTAGGGTATAAAGATTTACACGTAATCCTCAACTTACGACCACAGTTGAGCCCAAGATTTCTGTTGTTAAGTGTTGTGGTTCGCCAGCAGCAGGTGCGGATGGCTGAGGTCTCAGAGAGCGAGGATTCAGATGAGGGGCCTGCGTGTGGTGCAGGGATGGGGCCAGGACCATCAGGGAGTGGAGTTCTGCTTTTGGAGATTGTGGAGGCTGGCAGCAGTGAGGAAGAGTTCCCTGAGGAGCCTGTGCCCAGCGTGCATGTGCACAGGGCTGCTCGAAGGAAAGAGCAGCTGCAGCAGCATGGGCGACTCGGGAGTAAGGCTGCAAGGTAATGGCCCCTCCCTTAAGAGATAAAAGCCAGGTGAGAAACCGGAGTTCTTTGCAGGAAGCAAAGAAGTTCTTGCACTTCAAGCCTTGTGGATGTTTGGAATATTTTGGTTGGTGTTTGGAGACTGTTTGTGTTTGAAATATTTCTTAGTAACTTAATCTAGTCTTCTTGGCAGCCTTGCAAAACCTTGGCAAGGCTCATTCTTATCAGAGACAATTAGTTTGAAACAGCCTTTTTAACTGTGAAGGAACGGAATTCATAAAGAATCATTAAAAGTTTTTGCTGTTACCTGTGTTTGGTGTTTGTTTCCTTGGAACAAGGTTTGGGTCAGAACATTAAGCGAGACACTTGTGAAGTGAGCTTTGTCCCATTTTACAACTTTTTTTGGCCACAGTTGTTAAGTGAATTTCTGAAGTTGATAAGTTAGTAACCCGGTTGTTAAGTGAATCTGGTTTCCCCACTGACTTTGCTTTGCCAGAAGGTCAGAAAAAGGGGATCACGTGACCTTTGGACATAGCAAAGGTGATAAGTATGAACCTGTTGCCAAGCATCTGAATTTTGATCACATGATCATGAGCACGTTGCAAACTATAACTATGAAAAACGGTCTATGAAACTATGAAAAACGGTCATAAGTCACATTTTTCAATGCCCTTGTAACTTTGAATGGTCACTAAATGAACTGTTGTAAGTCGAGGACTACCTGTATTGCAAGCTTATAAGAATCTGCAATACTAACCGGTCAAAGCAAATTGGCGGTAGATCAGATTCAAAGGAATTCAAGATGGGCTGGACTTAGATCTACTGTGGGTACGAAGGGACTCGAGACTGATGACACGTTTCACCCCTCCCACGGTCTCAGCCTGGCTTTTTCTCCTACAATATCACTTGATAGCACTGAACGTTTTCTGTCATACAATCGGAGGTCTTGCTTAACAGACTGCTTCACTCGGTGACTGAGATTCCAGTCCCAATTGTGGTCGTAAGTCAAGGGCTTCCAGTAACTGCAGTCAAATTTCTCTTCGGCTGGCGTTCAGTGTCTTGTTTGTTATACTTATGAATGGAAGGTTGATTATGAAATGGTGATTTCTTAGGGGATAAAGAATGGGTGAAGCACAGAATTCCACACGCTGTGCTGTTAAGTAGAACAGCAGGAAAGGAGTCAATTCTTTAAATAAGGTGTAGGAAAAACAGAAACCAACAATCATGTCAGGCGCAAAAAATCAGGTCCACATGTGAAGGTCCAGTTAAAACTGATTTATTGCTACTCATGTCTATGCATGGGAATATTCTCAACAAACGGATAACACTTGTTTGGAGTTAGATCAGGGTCCATGGAATTCAAGGGAGGCTGGAATTAGCCTGCTTATGGCCACATAGGGATTCTAGGCTGATCCCTCTTTTAATTCCACCTCCACTGTCTAGCACTCCTCCTTCTACAAGGCACTTCCAAAATATGAAGGCAACAAGACACTAAAAATGTACCCAGCACTTTCTGGGAAATGCCTTTGTAGTATCTTAATGTTTAGCGTTGATCATTAGGTTTCAGACTTTGATTTTCAGAAAGCCTCTTAGGCACAATCCAGAGAGGGAGGTTGTGTGCGTGGTGGTTTGGAAACTGAAGTCAGGGTTGCAACTGGTGAGATAAAGGCAAGCGACATTGACATGGTGGAAGCAAATAGATTTGAGGCAGAGTCTGCCATAAAATGGTAGTCTGACAGAATCAGGTCTTTGTTTTTAGAAGGTGGAGTTCAGATCATAGAATGAGGAGGAGGAGGAGGAGGAGGAGAATGGGAAGAGGAGGAGGAGAGGAATGGGAAGAGGAGGAGGTGGAGAGAGGAGGAAGTGGAGGAGGAGAGAAATGGGAAGAGAAGGAGAGGAATGGGAAGAGGAGGAGGAGAGGAATGGGAAGAGGAGGAGGAGAGAAGAGGAGGAGAGGAATGGGAAGAGGAAGAGGAGGAGGAGAGAGGAGGAAGAGAGGATGAGGAGGACAGAAATGGGAAGAGGAGGAGAAGGAGAGGAATGGGAAGAGGAAGAGGAGGAGGAGGAGAGAGAAGGAAGAGAGAGGATGAGGAGGAGAGGAATGGGAAGAGGAGGAGAGAGGAGCAGAGAGGAGGAGGAGAGGAATGGGAAGAGGAGGAGGAGGAGAGAGGAGGAGGAGGAGAGGAATGGGAAGAGGAGGAGAAGGAGGTTATTTGTGGAAACTCAACCAGAAGAAAAGTATGGTGTTTTGGTGTGGTGGTGGAATACCAAACATACTCCTGAAAGCCTAGAATTCAAGACATGTAGGGAAATAACTAATCTTGACCACTATTGGACTTCCTAGTCAGAAAACAATGGAAGTTACCCTTGATTAAGGATCTCTTTCTATGTGTGGTAGCCAAGCATTCCTACCTATTAGGCAGCTGTGAACTCCAGGCCTCCTATAAAATCCAGTACCCTTACCTAAAATATCATTCCTGCTTGAAGTGACAAATTCAGCCTTTATCTAGGTCAACATTAAAGAAATTTGAATAAGCATTATTTTTGTATATATATATTTTTGTAATCTTTTTTTAACAAAGACCATGGCGTCCTTCCTGACTCTGATAAGCATAGCTATATATGCATTTGTTACCTAAGCTCAACTATTATACAACATTTCTTTTCAGGTGTGATGAAAATAAAGTTCTAAACCTCCCCTATTCTTTGTTAACTTATCATTATCTTGCTAGCTTCCCATCTTTTCATCTTCAGAGAAAATAGATCTGCTGTTCTCGCTTGCATCTACACTTGCTCAAATTTGAAGTGAGTTTCCCTATTTAGTTCTACCACAAATAGAGTTGAGTTGCTGTCACACTAGGGGAGTTGAAAGGAAAGGTTGCCAGAAGCCGAAGAGATTTATATTTTGACTATTACTACTCAGGATGACTTTGTATACATGACGCGAAGACATAATTATAAGTAGCAGTATAATTTATGGCCAAGATAAATGAGCAGCCAGTTTGGTGTAATGATTAAGATGCTGGTTTTAGAAACCAAGAGCCCATGTGTTCTAGTCTCACCTTAGGCATGAAAGCTGCCTGGGTGACTTTGGGCCAATCACCAGTAGACTGTGACTTCTGCCTAGACTGTGAGTCCTGTCCTAGGCATGAAAGCCGGCTGGGTGACTCTCTCTTTCTCAGCCCAA